GTGACAGCACATGTTGGCGAGGATGTGGAGAAAAAGGAACACTCCTCCACTGTTGGTGGGATTGTAAACTGGTACAACCACTATGGAAGGCAGTCTGGCGGTATCTCAGAAAATTGAACATAGTGTTACCTGGAGACCCAGCTATACCACTCCTGGGCATATACCCAAAAGAAGTTTCACCATACAACAGGGACACATGCTCCACCATGTTCATAGCAGCCTTATTTACAATAGCCAGAAGTTGGAAAGAACCCAGATGCCCTTCGACAGAAGAATGGATGCAGAAAATGTGGTACATTTATACAATGGAGTACTACTCAGCTATTAAGAACAATCAGTTCACAAAATTCCTAGGCAAATGGATGGAGTTGGAAAATATCATCTTGAGTGAGATGACCCAATCTCAAAAGAACATACTTGGTATGCACTCACTGATAAGTGGATATTAGACCAAAAGCTCACAATGTCTAAGAATCTACATATAGACCACATAAAACTCACATAGAAGAAGGAAGACCAAAGTATGAATGCGTTGGTCCTTTCTAGAAGGAGTATCAAAAGTTTCAACCAGAACTCCCAAAGTCTAAACCAGAGAGCACAAAGGGAGGGACTCACGAACCTGTATAGGGAATTGAGGGTGACCTTGTTAGACTTCAGTGAAAGTGGAGGGCCAAGGTCCCCGAAAGTTTGGATCCCCTACTGTGTGGGAATTTGAGAGCAGGGAGATGGGAGTGGGAGGATGTTTGGAGCGAGCACACCATCACAAAAATTAGGAGGACTGGGTATGGGATAAGGGATCTTGGGGGAGAATGAGAATGGAGATAACATTGAAAGGTAAATACGTATAATATCCAATAAAAAACCCACACAGATAAAGGATTTTTTTAAAAAAAGGGAGTTTACTTATCTTAAATTAATTTCAAAAGTTTCTAGGAGTTGCAAATTGGCTAAGATCCTATTTTAAGCTCTCCACAAAAGAACTTAAATCTCTGTTCAATATTCTCAAGAGAGAGGTAAACCCTAACTCCCTCAACAGTTAATTGACAGAAGAGAGGTAATCTCACAAAAAGTAGAAAAAGCTATTTCCAATCGATATATCATATAGTCTGATTAATTGTCAGTGGTGCTATAAAAGTCCTTTGACAAAAGATTATTAATATAGATTTATATATCCTTAAATAAGGTCTTCATGACTCTCTGAGTGTAGAAGGAGCAACTGTTGGCGCTTCTGCCCTGATTTTACAAGAACTCTGAAAAATTGGCTTTAAAAACAAAAGAGGGGGAACGGTACCCCCTCAGAAGGAGCCCCCCTGAAATACTCTCCATCATGCCTTGTTCACTTTTCTCTCTCTAAAGCTGAAAGCTCATGGCAAATCTCTTGCTGACCATATTGGTGACCTCGGGCACCACCAAGACCAACAAAACTTTACCACAGATATGGGGAAGGACCCTCATACCTGTAAAGGGAATGCCCCAGACCCAGTTCCCTTATGGAGCCGAGGACTGATATGCCTGTCCAATACCACAGAAGGCACAGCTAACCGGCTACCACAAATATTAATGAAAAAAATAGATACTCTCACAAAGCCAGGCCCAACCATAAATACGATGAATAACAATTTACATCCAGGGAAGAGAAATCTCCCTGAGAATCCCCTTCTTTTTTCTTTCCAGGTAAAAATGAATCACCCGTGATGCCTGCTATTAGAAGTTCTAATCCAGATGGGCCAGAAGCCAGGATCCTCGCCCTTACCCTCACCCCCTACCTTTTCCCACCTGCACAAGGTTCCCTGAAGCTTGGCAACTGCAAGATCCTGCTTGGCAACTGCAGATAGACTCAAAGCAGTGTACCATATCATCTGAAGAATAGCAGGGAGACCATAACTCAAGCAGTGTACCATATCTTCTGAAGAATAGCAGGTTACAGTCCTCCTCGCCCCCACGAATAACTAGGACCTGCCGGTCGGGTCAAGTGCACCCAGATATGGGGCTCGAGGCATGGACCCCTCTGGACGGACCCTCATTGAGAGGATGTGCGCACGACATCAAGATTGAGTGAGACAGAGATCGTTGCCGGCGACCTGCCATCCACGGAACCAGGTTGATGCTGCCATCAAGAAGACGGTTGAAGTTCATTACCATCAGCCAAAAATTGAAGAGGATCCAGAAGTGACTCCTCAGGAGACTGACACAGCTGCCAGCTCCCCTGCCTCCCCCTACGGTCGACCGCTAGACTTCCACACCCTCCAGAAGGGTTCCTGGTATGCCTGGCTTTGTCCTCGCTTCTCTCGCTAGAGAGCTTGGCCTCTTGATCACCACAACAAAAATTGGCTTTTTCCTAAACCAAGGCCGCCCTTGATATGGCCGCTAACATTGGGGAGCCTTCCTTTATGACAATATTACACCCCAAACTGACAAATGGTTGGTAACTTGAACATTCACAAAGGGACTAGGATGGCTGTGAGTTAGCCCAATGACGGGATTATTGTAGGTCCACTTCCCAGGGGCCCACCCAATGCAGCCGAAAAGGAGTGCGTGGTGCTGTTAGTGGGTGCAGCCTACATGGCCTAAGACAGGGCTCTCACCCTCCTTTCACCCACATCGGAGTCCCTTGACGTTGCCCATCGTCGACAGCCTAAAGCCTTCGACCATCGATGTGACTCGTCTCACATCAGTGTTTTGGGGTTGTGAACTTGTCTAAGACCCCCCATAATTAGACATCCAAATTCAAAATTCACATAGTTGGGATTGATCATAAAATGCCTTCTCTAACTAAACAGAGAAGGGGGAGATGCCAGAAGCCAGGACCCTCGCCCTTACCCTCACCCCCTACCTTTCCCCACCTGCACAATGTCCTCTGAAGCTTGGCAACTGCAAGATCCTGCTTAGCAACTGCAGATAGACTCAAAGCAGTGTACCATATCATCTTAAGAATAGCAGGGAGACCATAACTCAAGCAGTGTACCATATCTTCTTTAGAACAGCAGGTAGATCATAATTCAAGGCAGAGTACCTTATAGACCATGACATGTTTCAAGGCACAGGCCAAGAAGATTTTGTACTTTTCCACCACTTTGCCCTTCTTACCCCCTCCCCTTGTAAAACATGCTATAAAAAAGCATTAAAAAAAAAAGAAAAAAAAAGATATAGACCAAAATTTTAAGCAGTTTGTTAATACACAGTTTACACACACAAAAAAAGAAATTTCACTGATATATATTGATCTATTTATTTTACTGTTTTGAAGTAAGTCTCTTTTGCCCAATTTGAATCTTGGGTTTCAGTGACTCTTCTTTTTCAATGTTCTAAGTGCTGGGATTTCTGGAGGCATGAGCCTCCACACTTCTTATTAATTACTTTATTTATAAAGTAATAACTCCATCATTAAATGTAACAATAAATACCTTCAACCTATTTACAGGATAATCCTCATAAGTGGAATGATTAGGCTAAAAGATATACATTTTTTAAAAATACTGATATTCCTCAATTTTAGCTTTTAAATAGTGTCTTACATTTTTTAAGGATGAGAAAGTATAATATGCTGTAGAAAAGACGCCTGATAAAGCAGGGGGGAAAGAAAGGAACAGTGCTGTTAGCTCAAGGGATGGAAAACTCTTGTACCAGTGATTAATTTAGTGAATGGATGTAGGAGAATTTTGGGTACATTTTGTGTGTTTAATCAAATGCAGGTCTCTTCTGAGTGTTTTTGCTTTTCAGGTGAAGAAAGAGTCAAAGTTATTAGAGTGGAAGAGTTATTGAAATTTGAGATAAAGGATATGAATTTTTTTTTGAAAGTGAGAGAAGAAATTGCCCAGGGAAATGGAGGCTTGCTGGGCAGCACTGCAGTGAACTTTGAAGGACTGCTGTGGGTGAAGATTGCCTTATTAGGAAGGAGTAAATAAAAGTAAAATCAAAGCCAAAACATTCATTAAATATATATGTAAACCATATTTTACATTTACTTATTTACATTGGGGTTGGGGGTGACTCTATAATTTAGAGGACTCCTTTTTAGTCACTTGTCTTCTGCCATGCATGTCCCAGGGATTGAACACAGGTCCCAAGGCACCTTTGCTGGCTGATCCATTTCACAGGCCTTCAAATAGTCACTAAAAAAATATTTATAGGGATCTCGTTTGTAGGAGCACTCTTTCTGAATGCTGGCTTTGTCACTTAAAGCGGATCACACACATTACTACGCACATACAGCTGAATAAGGTAAGGTATTTATCCTGTACGCAAAAATATAAAATCTCCCATGGGAGCTTTTAAAATGAATTGTGTTAAAGGTGTGTTGGGGGTGGGAGGACTGCAGAATGCTGTCTCTGATAGTCTGAGCTTCCGATGAAAACGTGCACGTAGACAAATTTGCAGTAACATATAGGTGGTCCTAGAAACATGAATCGAGAACCTCTTCCTTCAAATTGAGTCCTATTTTAAACATTGAATTTTATATAAATCGAGCATATTTTATGAGTTTTAATTTGCACACGGTTTTAAGAGCCATTTCACAATTGTGTACTAGACACCTCAGCTAAGCAGTTTGAAATCATCTGAGGTTTAACAAAAGTTTTCAAAAATAGGGTAGTTTCTTTGACCTCTTTATCTAAAAATTTCAAAGGTTATCATCATATATAACTGTAGTAAACTATCGAGTCAACTATTTGACTAACATTCGTTGATACGAGTTACTCAAATTTCTTCAGTTGTCCATGCCCGTTTCCTGTCCAATATTCCAATTCAGGTTGTCATACAACTTCTGTTCTTTGAGTTTCTTATTCTTCAAGAAATTAATGTTTTTGAGCTATTTTTTCGCCTTAATATGCATTTGTAACTTTCTTCGAAACTTGGAAAGGAAGTTAATACTAATTTAAACTAGAACTACACATCGAGATGTTTGTCCTAAGCTAAGACCCGTAGCTTCTCAGACACCGAGATAAGCTTCTTGTGATTGGACAGCGTGCGTACGGCGTGACGCCGGAAGGTCGTGTGATTGGTCCGCCGACTCCCCTGCAGCTTTTCCCTGTCGCTTAAGGCTTTCAGCCACTTCTCTTTCTCTAAGCGAGCGTTCTTTGTTGGTGACTGGAGCTGCTAGTCCAGAAGGACCAGACTGAGGGAGGCGAGGTAACTTAACTGCACATGCGTGAGGAAGTGGCGGGCCTAGACCTGGGTGGGGCAGGGGCTTGCGCGCCTTGGGCAAACTACCTTGCCTCCGGGCTCCTGGATTTCAGTTTCTCTGGTGCTTCTCAGATTCCTGTTGAGACTCTGAGCGTCTCTCACCCATACCCCACTCCTCGCTTTGCCCTCCCCGGCCCGGTTCTCCACGCTGCTCCGCCCCCTCAGCCTGCTCTTCCTCAACTCCATTCTCCAAGCTGCCCCTCTTCAGCTCGCCCCTCCTCAGCCCCGCCTTCCTTATGGCTCCGCCTTCTCCACTCCATCCTTACATTTCTGCTTTACTTAGCTTCCCGTCCCTGCCCTTTTGTCCCATAAGCTCCGCCCTCCCGGAAGCTTAGCCCCGCTCTTCTATGCTCCACCTGAGTAGCCCCACCCTCTTCACTGTCCTACTTTCTTTTAACACTCCTCTGCCCAGCCTCTCTTGCAAGCCTTTCACTGTCCCTTGCAAGCCTGTCCATCTCACTGCTGCCCCTTCTCTGTGTCTCTCGTTAGCCCCACCCTCTTCATGATTCTCCACCTCTTCAAGTTTACTATCCTCACTTGAGGTTTACCTTCTGCTCTGCACTGCATGCCACCTCTGTCTACCAGTGTCCTCACCTCCCAGCAGCCCAGCCTCCTTAGTACACTCCTCTTCTGGCCCTGTTTTCTCCCATTGCATAGCACTGATGTCTCTCTGACGGAGTTGTGGCCTTCTGGCACATCCCTGGCAAGGAGTTTTTAAAAGTTTTCTTCCTTTCCTTGGTGCTGGTACTTTCTTCTTGATTGCTGTTCAGCCTGCACAGTGCTCTGTCCTGACTGTCAGGATTCTGCTGTGTGGGAGAGAGGTAAATTGTAGTAGTGTAAATGCCATGTGTTAAGTCTCTTCTGAAGGCAGCGCAGTGTTGGTATCTGGTATGCTTAGAGGAAGGGCATTTGTTTTTTTGTTAGGTTTGTTTGTTTTTGACTAGTCATTCTTGCTGGATCCTTAAACAGACCTCTAAAGCACTGAACTGTACCTTTTCCCAAAATACCTGGGTCCTAGGTGTTCTTTAAACATCTGGCTCTTATTTAATTTTGTCGTGGAGACTTGCTTTAGCTGGTTAGAATTGGTCCAGCTTGAGACCAGGCGACTAGGCTCTTAGGCAAGGAGTGAATGACTTAGTTTCAACAGTATACCTACCCTTGGTTGTCCCTTTTTAAGTTTCCCTGAGGACTTTCCCCCAATATGTTAGCTAGCAGTCTTGAATCTAAAAGTGTATATGAATAAAAACCATGAGCAGTAGATTCCTGTTAAGCAGTCCACACAAGCAGACAGTGGTGCACTCTCAGGCTCCTGGAATCTTACAGCTGTGAGTCCGTTAACAGCTCCAGCATTTGTTGTGGAGCTTGGCAGAGAAACAGGCCTTATCTAAGCCTTGGTTTTTGCCTGCTCTAACAAAAGCCTGGTAAACTATGGCATAGATCCAGGGTTGGGGTTTGTTGAGATTCTGCTTAGGAAAACACCTTTAGATTCCTATAAAGTTGTGGGAAGTCGGTCCAAGTGTACCTTGTATGGTTCAGATTTATGTCTTCCTTGCTCAAGCCAGAAAAGAAAAACCTGATACATTGTTCTCTTGCAGGCACCATGACAACCCTGGATGATAAGTTGCTGGGGGAGAAATTACAGTACTACTACAGCACCAGCGAGGATGAGGACAGTGACCATGAAGACAAAGACAGAGGCAGGGGAGCCCCAGCCAGTAGTTCCATGCCTGCAGAGGCTGAGCTGGCAGGCGAAGGCATTTCAATCAATACAGGTACTGGAAGGCTCTGAGCTCTGGAAATGGACTCTAAAGGTGGCCTTGCAAGTGTGTATCAGAAGTCCTGCTCTCCTTTCTCCACCTCCAGTCCCATTTTCCTTCCAGAGATAACAGTGTAGTCCCTCATTGTGCTTGCTTCTGCCCTTTCTCTGTGCAGTGCAAATCTGTATGCATATCAGCATGGAAGGGAACAGACTGGATTGGGTTTAACAGCCTGTAACTCATATATATGAGTATACTGGTAGGATTAATACCTAGAAATGGCATTTTTACACTGTTAGTTTTTTAAATGAAAGTCTCTATTATTGTTGTATGTATATGCACTGTTACAATTCCAAGATACTAGTATGGAGATAAGAGGGCTTTGTGGAGTTGCTTCTCTCACCTTTACAGTTAAATTCCAGGAATTTATTTACTTCATATCTCTAGGCTTGGACTGTAGGGTCCCATGTGATGAATCATCTCAGTGGCTATTATACTATTATGTATTGCTTTCAGTTTGTAACTTTCTACTTCTAGGGATTGGTGGAGGGCTTTGTTCATGTTATGCAAGTGCTCTACCACTGACCCACTTGAACATCCTCATATTGTCAGATTGCTTGAGGTTGCGCCTGTAGTTCAGTCAGCAACACAGTATTTTTCCTTAAAGTTTTTCCCCTACTGTGCTAACAACTTTCAAAATTTTTGCCATCTTGTTGGATAAGAACTAGGCATTTTTGTTTTCTTTTTAGAGATAGTGTCTTATTATGTTGTTCAAGCTGGCCTTGAACTAATCTCAAATGATCCTCCATCCTCAGTTTCTTCAGTAGGGATTCCTGGCATGCACCACTATGCCTAGCTTATCATTGTTTTTGGAGTATCTTTTATGTCAGGATATGTAGAACTGTGTGTTCCTGCCCTCTCTTGCCTTTTGGTGCTGGGATCAAATCTGGGGCTTTGTGAGTGCTTGGTTAGTACTCTTGCAGCTGAACTGTATTCCCAGTCCTTGGTTTTTGGAGGAAGGATCTTACTTAGCTCAGGCTGACCATGAACGTCTGATCTTCCTGTATAGCATGCTGATGTTGCAGGCATGGTCCACCAGGAATTCTCTTGCTCTTTCTACATGTTTCTTATTTGCCTTTGAGTAGATAAATCATAATTTGTGCAATGTTGAGCATTAGGTTGGCCATTTAACTCCTGCAAACTACACTACAGTAGACCTCATTGTGTCCCATGTAAGGGTATACTGAGGCTGCTGCTGTGTCATAGATACAGCAAGCTCCCTGCTAATGTGAATTCCAGTTTACAGATGTCAGCTGGTCCAAAGACCCTTTCATGTTCTCAGTTATGTTTGCCCTACTCAGGTCCAAAAGGTGTGATCAATGACTGGCGCCGCTTTAAGCAGTTGGAGACAGAGCAGAGGGAGGAGCAGTGCAGGGAGATGGAGCGGCTGATCAAAAAGCTGTCTATGAGCTGCAGGTCCCATCTGGATGAAGAGGAGGAGCAACAGAAACAGAAGGACATCCAGGAGAAAATCAGTGGGAAGGTAACGGCGTCTTCGAGGCTTTCTGACTGTTGGAAGTGGGCATGGTGATTCAGAACGGGGCGTGGCGCTCCAATGGCCTCTGAGGTGCATTGACGTGCACGGCAAAGCTGGAAGGCCTGTTATAAGTTGGGGTGCAATCTGGGTTTGTTCTCAGCTCAGCTATATACATCTTTAACAGCAAAATTTCTTGCTGAGTCTATGTTTTCATTTGCTAAATGAGGTTATTACCTTTATCTTCCTAGGGTTCTGCAGCTCAAATAATTATTTTAGGGTCTAGCCTTTTGAAAGTGTGGAGTATATATTAGTTTCTTAATTGTATTCATGATTGTTTAGTGGAGACAGTAAATAGAATAGACATTCTGAGAGATACTTGAGCCCAGGTCCCTGATGCCTCATTACCTTGCCAGCATTAAAGATCTCTCTTGTTCCTTCTGACCTTGAAAGAAGTATCCTGGAGTGCCTAAGATCAGTTAGCTGTGGCTTAAAAGCTAAAAATATCAGGCACTTGGCCAGAAAGAGGGCTTAGTGGAGAAAGGAGCTTGTTAGGCAAGCCTGACGACGTGAGTTCAGTCCCCAGAACCCATGTAAAGGTGGAGGAGAGAACTAGCTCCACAGTTGTCCTCTGACCTCCATCTGCAGGTAGAGCATGTGCACATAGTAATAGCAAATTGACATTTAAAGATACCAGCCAACAGGAGGTGCAGATAAAGCATTAAACCAAGTTGATCACTTTGGGGAATGATTTTAGGTCATAAAACCAAAGGCTGTATCAGCTAAAAGATCCAGTCACATCAGCCAAGTGGGAGAGTCTCAGGTTAGAGCGATAAGAAGACTGGTAGCGAGAATTCAGAAGGGTGCTGGTTATGACACTATTGACCCAGTGTCCAGTTTAATGTGGTCCTGCTTACCACCTCTGGTCTATACATGGTTAATTAGAGATGTTTTATTGCACCAGGCCAGGAGAAAGAAGATGTCTGTCAGGGAAGCTGGCTGTAGCACAGTGTGCCTGCTGCTCACAGTCGTTGAGCAGAGCCACCAGCATAAAGCAGCAGTCATGTGACCACAGGTCAACTGTAAGAGATTCTGTCCCTCTCCTCTTAAGTCACCTATAGTAGGCCAGAACTGGAAACTGCCTGTCTGGCAGAAATGAAGCTGGGGAAAGGTTAGTGTGATGATTGTATATCAATTTGTAAAAAATGTTTGGAAACATGAGGAAATATTTATAAATTGTCATTAATTTTTGTTTTCTTTTGAGACAGAGTCTCCCTGTGCTGGCCTACAACTCTCCATGTAGACCTGGCTATAGATCATACAGATCTCTCGGCCTCTGCCTCTTGAGTGCTGGGATTAAAGATCTGAGCTTCTGTGCCGAGTCATTTTAAAGTATTGTTAACATTGCCTAGAGACAAAAGAAGGTTATGAGATACCCATAGCTGCTGCTACACAAGTAAGACAATTACAGTCAGCTGACTGACAGTAAAAAAGCTGGGCCTGGGTAGTACATACCTTTAATTCACTACATGGGAGGCTAAGACAGGCTAAGGATTGTTTGTTTGAAGTCAGCCTGGTGTATATAGTGAGAACCAGGCCAGCCAGTTCTACATAGAAAAATTTTGTTTCAAAATTGAAAAAACCACTGGGGCTGGAGAACTGGCTTAGTGGTTAAGAGCACATGTTCTTGCAGAGGACCTGGGTTTGATTCCCAGCACCCACATAGTGGTTCACAAATGTCCGTGACTCCAGTTCCAGGAGATGCAGGAGATCTGACCTCCAAAGGCACCAAGCACTCATTTGGTGCACATAAATGTATGCAGTAAAACACATAAAATGAATAAATCTTAAAAAAAAAAAGCAAGTTAGAGTTTGTGTTACGTGGATGTATGCACAAAGCAGCAATGAGGTGTGTTCCTTTGGAAGTTCCTTAATTGTGTTGTCTTTTTAAAAAAAAAAAGGATAAGAGTGACTAATACTTAGCCAAAACTGACAGAGGGGATGCTCATCAGAAAAGTGGTGCTATGTGATGCTGCCTTTTTGGAATGAGAAGCAAAATGGTATTGTAGTTAACAACTTGAGTTTTTAAAATCTAGTTTAAGGGTCTAGAGAGGTGTCTCAGTGGATCAGACTAGGCACTGCTCTTAGAGACCCCAGTGTGGTTCTCAGAACCCACAAGGTGACTTCCAACTGTCCCTAGGAATCTTCTGAACTATGTAGGCACATGTATACCTCCTCACACAGACACATTTATACACATAATTACAAAATAAAAATAGATCTTTAAAAACCCCAGTCTTGTACTTTATACTTACGTGAATTTGTGCAGATAATGTAAAATATTTGGGTTAATACCTACATTTACAAAATGGGGTCATAAAGTTCTTCCAATAAGATTAACTCAAGAATTCAGTGATAGGTAAATTCAATCATAATGACAAGGGCATGTAGTTGTAATTACCACATGGTAGGAGAGAACTAACTCCTGCAAGTTGTCTTCTTACTTCACAGACACACCATGGTGTGAGCATGCTCCCCTCCCCCTACTCCCTGAATGTAAAAGTAATTAAAAAATTTTCAAAGAGAATCTGGAAAAAAGATTCAGCTGTTACAAGTACTTGTTTTTATAGATGACCCAGGGTTGGTTCCCAGCACCCATGTAGTGATTTACAACCTTTGTAATGCCAGTTCCTGGGGATCCAGTGCCCTCTTCTAGCCTCCACAGGCACCAGCATACATGTGGTGCACATGAAATACACCTCTATCCATAAAAATTTTAAGAGAGAGATGACATAATATGAATAAGACACTAGTGTGAAGCCTCATGTGTTCTAAGTACAGGGTGCAAATCCACATTGATCTAATGTGTTTTGTGTCTTTCTTTGTTTTCCTGCAGATGACTCTAAAGGAGTTTGGTACAGTGGACAAGAACTTGGATGACGAAGAGTTTCTGCAGCAGTATCGGAAGCAGAGGATGGAGGAGATGCGGCAGCAGTTTCATAAAGGGCCCCAATTCAAGCAAGTTTTTGAGATCCCCAGTGGAGAAGGGTTTTTAGATATGATTGATAAAGAACAGAAAAGCACCCTTATCATGGTTCATATTTATGAAGATGGCGTCCCAGGGACTGAAGCCATGAATGGCTGCATGATCTGCCTTGCCACAGAGTACCCTGCCGTCAAATTCTGCCGAGTGAGGAGCTCGGTTATTGGGGCCAGCAGTCGTTTCACCCGGAATGCCCTTCCTGCTCTGCTTATCTACAAGGCGGGTGAATTGATTGGCAATTTTGTTCGAGTCACTGACCAGCTGGGGGAAGATTTCTTTGCTGTAGACCTTGAAGCTTTCCTACAGGAATTTGGATTGCTCCCAGAAAAGGAAGTCTTGGTGCTGACATCTGTTCGAAACTCTGCCACCTGTCACAGTGAAGATAGCGATCTGGAAATAGATTGAACTGATAATCTAGTTCCGTAGCTATCTCATTGTTTGGGCTGGAGGACACATGTCTGTATTTATTTCTGTCCTTCCTGTATCTTCTGGCTTTACAGCTGTTCTTTGTAGTCTCATTTAGTATGTGGAAAGTCAAGAAATTCTTTGATTAAATCAAAATGCTGACTCACTTTGTGGCTAGCAGTAAAGTGACTTCAAATTATATAAACAGGAAGCTAGGTTCTTGAGCTGTTTACTTCTCTAGCGTGACATCTCTGATACTGTTTCCAGTCAATATTGAGATGGCACCCTTGAAGGCAATGTCTTGAAAATTGTCTTCTGATGACCTCAGAATTCTACCAGGTCTGAGAGTAGAATTCCCTTGTGAGTGTGTTCTGTGCAATGGGAACAGTGCATTTCCATAATCACTTGATTGCAAATCATGTTTACTTGCAATCAGACTCATAGCTGTACTTTTTTTCTCTAGATCCTTCTCCACCAGGGTCCATACAAGGTTGGGAATGTAACTCAGTGGTGAACTCTTAACCTAGCATGGACATGGCTCCAAGATATCTGATTCCCAGCACTGATAAAACTAAAGGTTCCAGATGGTGCCTGGTGCTATGTTTTAACAGTGGCCTCTGCTGTGGGAGTCAGTGGTCTAGTCCAGCATAATGAAGTATGAACAGGAAAGGATGGGTTTTGCTGACTACTGTCATGATATTGGGAGGCAAGCATCCTATTGATTGACATTGGTTGTGTAGAGCTTGAAAACCTCAGTAGGAAGAGGACCTTTCTGTACTCCTGCTCATCAGCATCTATTCCTGTTATTTAACAAGGTAACTTCTTGTTTAACCTCAACTTTTTTAAAAGCTTTTCTTTTTTTTTTACCTACTAGAAAAAAATTCATATTTAGTAGAGGAAAATTGGCCAAAATACAGATGCAAAAGTGGTTTAAAAATATAATTCTGCCACCTAAATATTGTATATTTTGGTATAGTTCATATATAGTTGTTTTTTTTTAATGTATTCATAGGTTTTGGTTTGCCTTTAAATGACATTGGGATCATTCTGAGCATACTGTCTGATAGTATGGTCAGCTACTAACATCAGAAGTTTTCCATGTTATTAAATACTCTTCTGTAACATTTTAATAGCTGTTGGTATTCCATTAATAGATATATTGTAATCTGCTTGGTGGTTGGTTTTTAGAAAGATGGCAACCTTTTATTATGAAACATGTTCATAATAGAACATATAATAAAAATTAAGCTAAAAAGATATTTAGAAGCCATACAATTTTACTACTGATAATTACTGTCACCATTTTTACAGATCTCTTTCTAGCTTTTATGTGTATATGTGTATTTATAAAATTCATTGTCATTTAAGTTTTTTTCTTTTGATTATTCTTTATATGTTCTAGTATCAAGGAAAAAGAAATGTAATTTGGAAGTACTTGAGTTTTTTGGTTGCTCAGAAATTAACTGTAAATGAGTTTTGAAAGTATCTGTTGGATTTAATCAAGAACAGTGTGTCATTTTCTGACTGAGGAGCTCATTGTAAAAGTGAAGAAAATCATGAGCAGAGACAACTGATCTCAATAGTCTGGTTTATTTCTTTCCAGCCCCCCCCCTTTTTTTTTTCCTATTCTTAATAACATTGATAGTTACTGAATTCTGTGTTCTACTTTATGTAATAGTACATACTAAAATACTTTGGTATATTGTAAAAGTTCTGAATAATAAATCAGTTGCTTTATAGTTTACCATTTAAATAAACGATACCACGATGACTTAGCCCCTCTATGTTAGATATTTAAATTCCTCGAATCTTGCTAAAGCATTTAACATCTTTGTGATTTGCACTTTGTTTTGGATCACTCATAGTAAAGATATCTAGAAGAGTCACTGAAAAAATTGGCAGAAACATTTTAAAATAATTTTTTGTTGGGATGTAGTGTGAGAGTGGGTGTGGGTCCTGTTGGGTTGAATTGTGAGTCCTGTGTCTGCCGCCGACTCTGTTCACTCCAGCTGCTGGGCAGAGGTTAGGCTGTGGGAATCTTCAGGGCTCCGCTCTGTGGGTGGAGGGAACACAGTCTAGGGCCCCGAGGGGGCTGGAGCTCTTGGGTTGGGGGTCCCTGGGTCAGGAGGCAGCACAGGGACTCATGGCTGGCTCAGCTCACTCGTTTGAGTTGGTGGCCTCCATAGCTAGAATGTAGCATAGGTAGAGGGCATGACTACAGGCCACAGGACTTCAAGACATCTCCATATTCATGAGATAACTAAAGGCCAGAGGGTGTAGCCAATTAAGCATTCCTTACCAGACCCCCCTCCTTGCAAAAGGTATTTAACCTCAGGCCCGCCCTCAGAACACAGGGTATAGCTTCATCCATTTTCCGCCATGATAATAAACATTTTAAGATCATGGGCTACCTTGGAGATTAAACTGCAGCTAAACGGCAGACCTTAAAGAAGGGAGGTAGCCCATGGTCTTAAAATGTCTCTTGACTTCCACTCCTGCTGATCTTCCTTTCCCCAAATAGTTCTTATTTCACTTTGAGGTCTTTTTATGTTTTGATGGTCCACTGAGTTTAGTTACAGTTGCTTAGATGAACACGAGTAAGCAATTATATTGACTGGCTCTGGGCAACTTACCAGCAGCTACACTACCAAAGAAAATGTCTCCCCTTTTTCTCAGCAATTATTAACTGCCAATAGCTCCTTAGAAAGGGATGAGCCTCATGAGCCTCTCTTCTATCCATGATATATTTATTCAAATATAATATATATATATATATATATATACATATGTATACACACACACACACATATATATATATAATTTGAAAAGAATATTTTGACCATATTCTCCCCTTATTCCCTTCATCCTCCCACTGAACCCCTTTGCAATGAATCCCCTTCTTTCATGTTTCTCTTTGTGTGTTTGTATGTTCTCCACTGCTTATAATTTCATACATGAACATTGGATGGGGGTTATTTACGTGACTAAGGCAACTTAGTGGCTAATCTCCCTCACCTGATAAACATTAGTTGTTTATATCTTTAGTGAGATGGGTAGGACCTTATCCACCCCTCCTTTATCTGTGATGGGATAGTAATGGTCTGAGTCCTGTTCAGATAGTCAACTACCGTGCTTTCATGTCCAGTAGTGTCTAGAAGATAACAGTTTATAGTATTCCTTCCCATCTTCTAGCTCTTATGTTGTTTTCTGAGCCTTTGCGGAGTTGATATGGATGTCCTGTTTAGGGTAAACATTCAACAGACTTATTCTCAGCATTTTGACTAGTTACAAGTCTGCACTAACCATTCTTTATTGTAGACAGGAGCTTCTCTGATGAAGGCTGAAAGCAGGAATCTATGGGTATAAACAAATAGGCAATCTGGCAGCATGGTTATTTAGAGCAACAGTAGTAGGGCCTGTGACATCCCAGTCCTGGACTTTTGACTTAGATTACAGTATGTGGTTTAAATTTCTGTGGAGTTGAACCTCATTCAATAAGAAAGTAGTTTTTCTTTCCAATCCATGAGCATGGGAGATCTTTCCATCTTCTGCGATCTTCTTCAATTTCTTTCTTCAGAGACCTGAAGTTCTTGTCATATAGATCTTTCACTTGCTTGGTTAGAGTCACACCAATGTATTTTATATTATTTGTGACTATTATGAAGGGTGTCATTTCCCTAATTTCTTTCTCAACCTGTCTATCCTTTGAGTAAAGGAAGGCTACTGATTTGTTTGAGTTAATTTTATATCCAGCTACTTTGTTGAAGTTGTTTATCAGGTTTAGGAGTTCTCTAGTGGAAGTTTTTGGGTCCGTAAGTATACTATCATATCATCTGCAAATAGTGAAATTTTAACTTCTTCCTTTGCTATTTGTATCCCCTTGACCTCCTTTTGTTGTCTAATTGCTCTGGCTAAGATTTGAGTACTATATTGAATAGGTAGGGAAAGAGTGGGCAGCCTTGTCTAGTCCCTTATTTTAGTGGGATTGCTTCAAGTTTCTCTCCATTTAGTTTGATGTTGGCTACTGGCTTGCTGTATATTGCTTTTACTATGTTTAGGTATGGGCCTTGAATTCTTGATCTTTTAAAGACTTCTACCATGAAGGGATGTTGAATTTTGTCAAATGCTTTCTCAGCATCTAGTGAGATGATCATGTGTTTTTTTTTCTTTGCATTTGTTTATATAGTGGATTATGTTGATGGATTTCCATATATTGAACCATCCCTGCATCCCTGGGATAAAGCCTACTTGAACATGATGGATGATTGTTTTGATGTGTTCTTGGATTCGGTTTTCGAGAATATTATTGAGTATTTTTACATTGATGTTCATAAGGGAGATTGGTCTGAAGTTCTCTTTCTTTGTTGGGTCTTTGTGTGGTTTAGGTATAAGGGTAATTGTGGCTTCATAGAATGAATTGGGTAGTGTTCCTTCTGTTTCTATTTTGTAGAATAATTTGAAGAGAATTGGTATTAGGTCTTCTTTGAAGGTCTGATAGAATCCTGCACTAAAACCATCTGGTCCTGGGATTTTTTTGGTGGGGAGACTTTTAATGACTGCTGCTATTTCTTTAGGGGTTATGGGAAGGTTTAGGTGGTTTATCTGATCTTGATTTAACTTTGTTACCTGGTATCTGTCTAGAAAATTGTCCATTTCATCCAGATTTTCCAGTTTTGTTGAGTATAGGCTTTTGTAGTAGGATCTGATGATTTTTTAAATTTCCTCAGTTCCTGTTGTTATGTCTCCCTTTTCAGTTCTGATTTTATTAATTTGGATACTGTCACTGTGCCCTCTGGTTAGTATGGCTAAGAGTTTATCTATCTTGTTGATTTTCTCAAAGAACCAGCTCCTGGGTTTGTTGATATTTGGATGGTTCTTTTTGTTTGTACTTGGTTGATTTCAGCCCTGAGTTTGATTATTTCCTGTCATCTACTTCTCTTGGGTGTATTTGCTTCTTTTTGTTCTAGAGCTTTCGGGAGTGTTGTCAAGCTGCTAGCGCATGCTCTCTCCAGTTTCTTTTTGTAGTCACTTAGAGCTATGATTTTTCCTCTTGGCACTGCTTTCATTGTGTCCCGTAAGTTTTGGAATGATGTGCTTTCAATTACATTGAATTCTAAAAGTCTTCAATTTCCTTCTTTCTCTCTTTCTCTCTCTCTCTTCCCCTCC